AAAGGATCTCAAAGATTGCTTCTGGCTTTCTTGGAACCCTGTGGCTGTGTGTGAATGAGTGCAGGCTATTCTACTGGAAGATGAGAGACACCTGGCCAAGTCCCCACTGTGATCAGCCAAGCACTGAAGATGCGACTGAAGCCATTCTATATGAGCCAGCCCCAAGATTTATGAAAGCGGCTATCCCGTGTCAGGCAGCCCCCAGACAACCCACCTGCTGACCACAGACATGTGAGCAAGTCCAGGTGACATCAGCCAAACCTAGTTCAGATCAGAACCCCCCCTTTTCGTTGGACCCCCCCGGTTGTTGCCCGGACTTTTGGGTTAAGGACTTGTCAGTCTTTTAAGCTGCTAAAATTTGGTAGGTGTGTACTGCTTCATACAGTTAGCAAGTGGCAAGAGGATCTGGGACTTCAACAGTGACTGTCTGACTTCAATGACTATGTATGCTCTCAAATCCTGTGCACATTATAACTTGGCTAATGCAATGCCTTCCTTCTTAGAAGCAGTGTATGTAGCATTTTTCTTAGGATTTAGGACTGGTTAGGGGGGTTCAAAATCCAGATTACTAATTTTGGGTGGGTTAATCTTGCCAAACCTCAGCTTCCTCATATGTTAATTGCAAATAATACCTGCTACTTCACAGAGACACCAGAAGGGTAAAATGGGTTAATATATATCCAAAGTGCCCAGAGTTTAATGAGCCATGAGTTTCCTGGAAAATGGAAGTCTGCAATGGATTTGAAAATGCTTAATGACTGAAAAGGAATTTCCTTTCCAATGTTGATGTCCATGTCACTGACAGTTTTAGGAATGAATATCTCTTCTCGGCAACAATTAACTTTTTGTAGGTTGTTACCTTAATTAAAGTTTTTCTTTTTGGATAGGGTCTTGTTCTGTCACCCAGGCAAGAGTGCAGTGGTGTCATCATAGCTCACTGCAACCTCAAACTCCTGGGCTCAAGTGATGCTCCTGCCTCAGCCTCCTGAGTAGCTGGGACTAGCTGGGAATACAGGCACACACCATGACACTAGGCCAAGTACTACTTTCTATATGGATGTTCCCCTAGGGTTGTGTCTTAAGATTTTAGGTCAAAAAATATAAACTGTCCCCTTTTTTTCCAGAGGTAAAAAGTCTTTTTTTCCAGAGGACCAATCAGACTTTCAGGCTGGAAAGACCGTGGAGGACATCAGCAGTATCATCCTGGCTACTATTTTCTAAGAAATTAAGGTAAACCAGCAACCTCTGAAAGTCAGAGGTTGACACAGACACTAAGCTTTTTGGTGGAAACAGAGTTACACACCAATGAATGAACCAACCCAGATGACACCGTGATTAAAAATAAAGTGTATTGAAGTGTTACTCCTTGAATAAATACTGGAAAATCAGTTTTTCCTTGCTGTTTTTCTGGTTTGGCACCTACAGTCCTGAAGTCCTATATATGGTCCTATGCTGGATATATTAATAGAAAGAGAGGAGAAGCAGCGTGGGAGGGCATTTTATAAGTACCAAGCATATCAACTTGTTTTTACTGTTGTCATTATCAATAACATCATTATTTTAGCAGAGCAAGCACTAAGAGGAATAGGAAATGACTTGACCCCAAATTGGCTTTGGAAATCTGTTCAACCTGAACTAGTTTTAGCAGGAACATTTCTGTTCACCTTCTGAAGCAGCCGTTAGAGAAAATTGTGGGAGCAATTTCACTAGGGCTAAATTCTTAAGTTCACCTACCTATAGTTCAAAGTTTAAAGTATTTTAGTTTAATGTCTTTTTGGCTGCTCTGTTTCATGGTAACATGTTTTTGAAAAGACTTTTTCACAAAAATCAGAAAAAGGAAAAATAATAACAGAAGGGAACTACTACAAAGTGCCGTTGGAAGCCTATTTCTCTTCAGATGACACCAGTGCTTAGAACTTTTTTTTCAAAGCTCTTCATTTCCTACAAATATTTTTTTCACTGTTCTAAAGGTGGAAGAACCTCTGAATAGCAAAAGTGCTGTGCTTTTTAAAACCTGCTGAACAACTTCTCATCTCTAACAGTACTGAAGTTTTGTCATACCAGTCTGTGCATGAAAAATTGCAAAATATATGCATAAAAACATCTAGACTCTTCTAATTGTGCCAATCCATGGGTAAAAACTTACTTCTGGAGCCACACAACTGTTAAAATCAGTCATATTTACAATTTTTATAAATGAGTTTATTTTAATAAAAACAAGTTACTCTGTGAGCATGATCTCTAAACAGATTTATGTGGGCTGGCACAATCTGCTATGCTAAACATATATTCATATTGCTTAAGTCTGCAACCAGTTTTTTTGAGTGGTGATAACAATCTTGCTTTGTGCAAGGATACCAAATAATTAAGAATTCAGCTAAGGACACTGTTCTCAGCACTGTGCTATTAAAATTGTTTTCTTGAACAGAATTGCCCTGTGGACATGATCCTAAATTAGGAGTATTCTGGGCTGCTGGCATTGGGCAGTGAACCAGGGAGATCGCTTATAGAGAAGATGTAACTCTATAAACGGTGCTAAAGAAGACCAATAAAGAGGAAGTGGAGAGTAAGAAAAGGAAGAAAGGAAGGGAAGGAGGAGAATGGGAAGTTTATATTCAACAATCCATATCCCCAAAGGGGTCTCTTTTTGTATCACTCCTTGATCTATTCACAACTTTCACTTTGATACATTTTTATGCTCATGTGTTTTGCTTGGCTACTAGTCTGTAAGCTCCTGGAAGACAGGAGTATCACCTAACTCAGCTTTACATCTCCCACAGTGCCTGGCGTCGTGCACTGGTGCTCAAAAATTTAATCGTTAAACGCATAAACAAAGGAATGAATTTCTGTATTTGAAGCATTTCCTTTCCCCAGAGAGAATTCCTAAGCAGAGGTTTTGATCAGGGACAGTACTGCCCCTAGGGGGCATATTGAAATTTAGGGGGGGGCAGTTTTTGTCTTGCAGTTATCAGTGCCAGAGTTTTTATTTACATTGTGAAACATCTATTATTTTATAATTTTTATTGATATTAGTATGTATAGTATTTAATTATAAACTACTTTCTCTTTTGCCTTTATATTACTAGAACATTACGTTGGTTTCTTGAAATTATTTGTATAGGTAGTTTACATTATAAATTTAATTCCAGGAGAGTAAAGTGGTGTTAAATTTTTTGTTGTGTTGTAAATAACGGGCGTTGCAGGGTTGAATACTTCTGCTTATGAGATTAAGCCTCAGCATACACGGGTTCTAGGATTCTAAGATGAAACCCATGAGTAAAAAGACGCTGGTGTACATTGATTTCAACAATCAGACTTTCACTTTAAGCAGGTGCATATTTAGGATTACTGTGGCTCAGTGGAGCACCGCTGTCAAAGCACAAAGGGTCCACGACGGGGATGGGGGTGGGGAATAAACGTCAAGGCGCCAAAGAGCTCTCCCACGTCCAGGGCCGGGAATGCGCGCGGAGTGGCCCAGAGGGTGAGTGGTTTCTCTTTGCTGTGGTTTGTATTCTGCCTCATTTTAACAATGATGTGGGGCTGAAGGGAAAAGGAGTGGCGGGGTGGTGACGCCGTCCGGCTGTCCCGAAAGCCTGGCTCCTCAGCCGGCCGCCGCCGCAGGGCCGGTTCACCGTGAGGTGGTCGGGACGTGGAGCCCCGGCTTGAAAAGAAAGCCCCCCAGAAGTGACTCGTGAGGGGCAGAGGCAGCAGAGGAGGCTCCGTCTCACACGGCGGTTCGAAGTAGGGTTGGACTGAACTTTTGGTGTCAACGGGTGGAGCCGCGCTCGAGGTTCAGTGGGGACCGGAGGCAAGAAGTGGCGCTGCAGATGACAAGGGGCGCGGCGACTTTTGACAGGGGGCGGGGCCTCCGGCCGGAGCGCGCGGGCCTCTGGAAGGCGGGACGCTCATTAACAGAGGGCGGGCTTCGCCTAGGGGCGGGGCTCGGGCCCCACTGCCACCATGAGATGGGGCGTGGCATGACAAGGGGCGTGGCATGACAAGGGGACGTCTGAGTGGGAGAGCATGCCCGCCCCTCACGATCCAGGGGGTGACATTAGAAAGGCGGAGCGCCCGGAAGGCGGGGCTGCCTTTTGGAATGACTCGAGAGAAGACAAGGCTTCTGTGGAAGGCGGGCGGAGCTATCGCCGACAAGAGGCGGGGCTTCCGTGGGTGGGGCGGGGCTTGTGTTGACAGGAGGGCGGGGCGGCACCCTACCTCCCGCGGAGCGCCTATCTCGGGGTAGGGGTCCCATCGGACCCTAGTGGAACTGCTGGATCAGGGCGTGGAGAGCCGGACGCCGCGCGGGGTTGGGAGCGCTGGGCGCGCGCGCGTGAGGGCCCCGCCTCGGCCGGCTCTCTACCTCCCCCTCCACCTCCGACGGCCGCTGGGGCGCGCACCTCTCCTAACACCCCCATCCCGGGTCCGCACGCTCCGCTGGGGCCCCGGAGCTGCCTAGGCCCGTCTGCGGACCCGCCGAGCAGTTCCGGGTTTAGGGTTCACAGGTCAGAGTTGACTCCCTGAAAAGTGCAGCCGGTTTGAAATGCAAGATGGCGGCGGCGGGGCGCTGAGAGGCGCGGCGGCCCCTGCAGGTAGTGGCGCGAGCCGGCTCGGCTAGCAGCGGGCCCGAAGTCCCGGGCTGTGGGTGGGAACCTGGGGCGCAGAGCCCAAGGCTAGCCGGGAGAGGCGGGCCGCGCGGGAGGAGGGCCGCCCCAGGGCAGAGACCCTGGGGGCTGAGCCGGGTCGTGTCGCTGAGTAGCGGGGCGGACCCAGCGCCGAGCATCCGAGGGGGAGGGACAGGGCCTGCCTTGCCGCTGGGCAGTCGCCGCGGTGGGACAGTCCCACAGCCTCCTTCGCGCTCTCGGGGTTTCTGCAGCCGCTGAAGGAGCTTGGGGGCGGGGAGGGAAAATCTCAGCTCCCCCTCGCCCCCCTGCTTGAGAGAAGACCGAGCAACTTGGGATTGTTGAGGGTAGTAAAGACTGGGTCTCCCTGGGCTGGGGGCGCCGCAGGGATGGAGGACCCCAGGAATGTTGGTAGTTCTAGGGAGGTCAGGAGCGCTGCCCTCCGGGGGCGTGTGGCCACCGCGTGGGGACTCAGTCTTCCTGAGAGTAAGGAGAGATTCTCTTGCTGCGGCTGAGTGCACTGGCTTTGGGGTTGGAGCCCCCGAAACCTTTTGGGGGAAGTCTGTATCCCTAGTTCAAGGAAGGCTGTGCACCCGTTTCGGGGCCAGGCTCTGTTGGGGAAGACTCAAGAGTTGAGTCCTTAAGAACTATATTACGATTTTGAGGAAACCCTGGGATTTAGGGAGAAGTTAGAGAAGGTAGAAAGGTTCTCTCTGTGTTTCAGTAGCGAGAGTGAGGGGGGTAAGAGAGAGAGAGCCTGACACAGGGAATCTTCCAAACCTTATGGCCTAAAGGAAACAATCTACTAATTCCTCCTGGGGAATGAAGGACTGGAAAGATGTGAGAGGAACGGGACGGGGCTAAAAGGCAGGAAAGAAGAGCCCAGGCAGATGCCCTTTCCCTAGGTATTTACACCAAAGTTGGAGGTAAAGGGACTTGAAATTCTTTGTTTCAATACCTCTTCCCCCGCTTCCTTCGTGTGTAACAGTAAGGAAAGAGCATAACCCTGAAGAAGAAAAAGATTCCGTTTGACATCCTTAGTTTAGGTTAGTGATTTTCCCAGCCTCTGGAAGGCGTTAATGAGAGACTTGGGGCAGGTGTGTTAGGAATAGGAACTGGGAGGTGATAGACTAGGAATATAGGGAAGAGATTGGGCGGATCAGGAATTCCATAGCACTTTTCTGTCATCTCATGGCAGCTGTTTAAAAAAAGATGCCCAGAGATAATCTTTGAGAGAAAAATGTAAGCACAGGATAATAGAATTTGTGATGTGAATAGGTTGAGAGTCCCCGTAACTTGAAAAGAAGAAGCAATTCTCTTGGAGGGTAATATGATAGCAGAAAAGGGAAAATCACAAGATTGGGAAATATACAGTAGTTCGCCATTAGGGAGGAAGACCATCAGGGAGGAAGAAGCAGGAATAGTGATTATTTGTTGAGTTGAGGTCTGTGTGGTGTGTGTTTATGTGTACATATATAAGTGCACCTTTAGATTGTTGGTGTTGGTCATTGTTTCTCAGTCTTTGTCTGAAAGATTTTATTTGTGTTATATGATGCTACGTGAATCTTTGCTTTTGAAAAATTATCTCGAAAAAGTCCTTTGTTTTTATGCTGGTAGTAAGGGTTACAGGAGTTGGTTGTAACAGGGATATTGGCCCTAGTGTGCCGATAGATTATTTTAATTTCTAAAATAGCAATTTTGACTCCTGATTTTAATTAAAAAAAAAAAAAGTTCGTGCTGCCAGTGACAATAATTCAGTGAGAGGACATAAAAGAAAAAGGGCTTTCATCAATATTTTTTCCTCTTAGTTTTCCTTTCCTTTCTCAAAGCATTTTTAGGGCTAAGGAGACTAATTTTATGTAAAGTAAAATGTATAATCTGTGGTGATTTCAATATAAAAATGATAGCATTTCATTTACCAGTGAATCTTTTTTGTTGAAGTCCCTCTTCAAATGCTTTATTAAACAATCAGGATTAAAATGGGAAAAAAAGAATTAAAGTAAGACTTGGGTAACCAATGATAGCGATGATTCAGAGAGATTTCTTGAACCTTTCTTGTATTTTCAAAGGAGGTTTGACATCATCAATGGAAATGTTTTAAAGATGCAGTTCAAGTATAAACTGGTTTAGAACTTCACATTTGGAACATTTTTATACATGTGTGTTGTTCTTTGGTTTCCCCAATGTGCATGTAGCTCTAGTTTTATATTCAATTCTGAACAGGTTATGCTGGGTGAACCAGAGAGGCATTGATGCCAGATGGTTTGAAAATATGCTAAGGCTGAAAACATAAATGTGCCTGTGCTGGTGAACACTTATTAGATTTCTTTCCCTTTAGCTGAGTTTATTATTTCACTGGATTTGGAGGGTAGTTCACAAATGATGTGGCAATTATTTCACCTTTAATGATACTTGTAAGTTGTTTTTTTCAATAAATGTGAATAAAATTTTACAGTTATTTTATTAATGAAATTAATAGCATAGGTAAGGTGCTTCATTTTGAAGTTTTTTCTTCCTCTTGTATTATTTCACATTAAGACAAAGGTAATGTTATGATGTATCATGTATTTTCTTTCTTATGTTAATTGAGCACAAAATGTGATATTTGAGACTTAGTTGGCCATAAATTATGGCTTAATACTTAAGAAAGTACTTTTAAAATTATTAAAATGATCACAAATGTAGCTGAGGAAATAATTCTTTTATTTATGTTACAACATTGTGGATTTGGGCCCATAAGATTCCACTTACATTAACATTAACAATATTGAAAGTTCAGTACCTAAAGCTAGTTTTTAATCTAATATCATACATAGTCAATGCAGTTATTCAGTGAGGTGTTAGAAATTACCTATTGCACTGTTTATGATAATAGCCAGTATTACATGGTTTTTGAACTTAAAATCCTCTTAAATAATCCTATGTAATTTCAAAAGTAAATTATATTTCTTTTTAAAAAAACTTTGATACTAGCCTTGGAATAAGAGCCCATGTTTCTATACTATTATTGATATATTTTATTGTATGCTTGCTGCTTTGGTATATTTGTAGTCATGAATAACCAGATTTGCATGAATGAAGTTGCTAATTTGGATTACTAATCAGGATATGCATTTGAGTTTACATTTTGGAGATCTGTATTTTATACAGTTAAATTTTAAAGTAAATATTAATATGTAAATTTTTATGTAGTTGCCAAGTTTGGTCTTAAAAGATACTTACTCTTGGTATTTTATATAATCAATATTATATACTGTATTTAAGAAGTATTAATATACACCTTTGGCCTAAACAAATAAGATGATATACTTTGGAAAAGAAGTATATATGAGCAGTTTTGGACAGGCACGGTGGCTCATGCCTGTAATCCTAGCACTCTGGGAGCCCGAGGTGGGTGGATTGTTTGAGCTCAGGAGTTCGAGACCAACCTGAGCAAGAAGAGTGAGACACCGTGTCTACTAAAAATAGAAATAAATTAATTGGCCAACTAAAACTATATAGAAAAAATTAGCCAGGCATGGTGGCTCATGCCTGTAGTCCCACCTACTCGGGAGGCTGAGGCAGGAGGATCACTTGAGCCCAGGAGTTTGAGGTTGCTGTGAGCTAGGGTGATGCCACAGCAAGCTAGCCTGGGTAACAGAGTTGAGACTCTGTCTCAAAAAAAAAAAAGTATATATGAGCAGTTTAAAAATGACATTTATTCAAGGGAGTTAATTGAATAAATCATTTTTAATGTAGGCTTTTTAGTTTTTGATTTTAGATATTTTAAAATCATATTATCAGAGTTTATCTTAACAACATTAAAATATTAAAGTGGCAGCCATATCTGTATACATTTATCATTTTAAATAAAATAACTCTGTCATTACATTTAGGTGATTTCATATTTCCCATTTTATTTCTGACTTTTTTTTCCCCCTTCCTAAAGGTCTTTCTTTCCCTTTTTTGGTTTTTGTAAGAAATGAAGAGATAGGAGGTTCTGATATTTCTAAGCACTTCACTTATAATTATGTTTTTCTTTTATCCTAAGTTTACTCCCTTTTACTATCCAATATTGTAAAAAAGAAGTTTGTTAAAACTTTGCTGGGCATGGACTATATTTGGGAGTTTAAGGGATGATGAGAAGAGAACAATTTCTCCTCATTACTATGATAAGATTACTTATATCAGAGGTTTGTTAGTTCTGTGAAATACTCCTTAAAATGTGTCATACAGTAATGATTCATCTTGAAGCTAAGGTCAGAGAAAGTGTGTGTGTGTGGAGAGGGTTAATTATGATTGATTAATGTCTACCTTTTAAAGCCAGCTTGTTCCAACATGGTTTAATATGCCCAAAGGTATGAAATGGCAAATAACATTTATTAGTTGATTGTTACCCAGATCAGTAAAAATTTTAAAATTTCTATTGTTTTTCAACAGTAGCAAATTTTAAATATTTCCTTTGCTAATGTTCATTGGGCTCTTACCAATTACCAAGAAATATTCTAAAAACTTTACATGTATTACTTCTTTCAGTCCTTACAATAACCCTATTAAGTTCTATACTATTATTAGCTCAGTTTTATAGATGAGTGGGCTGAGGCACATATAGGCTAAGTCACTTGTCTAAAGCCACACATCCTGTATGTGATAGTGCTGGGTCTGTTCCAGAGCTCAAGCTCTAGTCTACTGCCAGAACAACTTGTTCTCTTTTATTATATAATGTATATGGTTGATATGAAGTAATCTTAGTATCAAGACTGAAATAACATCAGGCAAATATGATTTTCATTCAAAAGTATTGAAGAGCTCATTTGTTGCTCCTTTAGTAGCCTTGTGCCTTTACATGTCTTGGTAGCCCCTGTCAAGAGACTCTTCTTCAGTAAAACATCTTGCAGTGACTGTGTCATTTAAGAATGGATTGTAATACGTTACCAATTTCCTAAAAATATTAATAATTCATTTTGGGAAAGAACCTTCCCTCTTTGGCAGCTGTTTCCTATCTTCTAGTCCACATCCTGTAGATGAATGGCTAAGGAGTGGCTGATCAAGGAGATACCAGGAAATAAAATTGTAGAATCCCAGGCTAGAGATAACAGGATGGACATTTCACTGGGCATGCTACTGCTCTTTTGCTTTTCATGAAAATAGGGTAATTATTCAGCCTAAGCTTTAACTTAACATAGAAGTATTTTATTAGAGGATTGGTATATTTACATTATTTTTTGACTTAAGAGGGCTCTTCATAAACTTGTATGTAATAATAGCAGAAATAAAAAATAAGTTATTTTGGGAAAATAATTTTCCCTACTATTCATTCACTTGGTAAACAGAGTAATCAGGGCTTAAAGAAAACAATAACAAAAATGCTTTAACACTCTTCAAAAGCATTATTTACTGTTATTGTAATAACGGAAGCAATTATAATTTTTCTTAAATTTTTCTTATGGGTTTAACTATTCTGGGTTATATACAACATTTTTGGACACCAATCTGAACTTTTAGGGAATGATTTTCAATTTGTTTGATTTCACAATATTAATGCACTGATTGTAAAGCCATTTGGTAGTAGCTTTCTAGCAAAAACTAAATAATTAAATACTAATTATTCTATTAGATGACCACATGTTTAGGGGTAGAGTACCACTAGTTTATTTCAATTATTATTGGCTTGTATTGTCAGCATTAATAACCTTCTCCATTCCAATTAATATATAGTAAATTAGGATACCAGTATCAGTAGGTATATGTACAAACACATACACATACACACCTACTCCCACTTCTTAGTTTAACTAAGTTGTCTTTCATAACCTTTGTGTACTAATTTTTAAAATTTTCCAATTTCTACATATTAACTTTCATATTACAGACTGCATATACTCACATTTTGAAATTTTATTAAAAATAGTCTAATAGTTACTTGATTGTTCTGTATAATATAAATAGAGTTTTTTAATGTATAGTTTTAAATTTTGTGTTTTCTGCCAGTATTGGGTTTGGCATTTAGAGGGTCCTTTTAAAATTTTTATGAGGAAATAATTTTTTTTCAAACTTATATTTATTTTTAAAAATCCAAAGCATAAACTGTAAAATTTCCTGACTAAGGCTAAATCATACTTAGATTAATAAAATGATATTACTTTTTTTGTAGGAGAAGACAGATAGCTACTTTGGACCTGTTGGTAATGATGGCCTGAGCTAAACACCTCCTAATTAGAAGGGATACCCTTCCCTTACAAAGGGCAGGATGCTGAGGAAGCTATGGCAAGTATGTGTTTCATTGTTTTGGTATGGGAAAACTCAGATACCGAATGCACTCACTTTAGATCCCATGGTACTGTATTAGGCTAAAGTTTTTAAAAGCTTTCCTTAAAAATCAGCAAATATATGCTTAATACTTTTGTTAAAAATATACTTTCAAACTTTAAAAACTAGGAGTATTGACTGCTTTAATTTCTAAGGAAACAACATAACATTTCATAATAAATCTTATATGGTATATTTATAATTGATTTTTCAATTAATATTTGCTAAAATCTGCTGTGCATGAGGTACTGTATCAGGTGCTGTGTGAACAGGTAAACAAGACATATGAACATCATGAAGGCAGGGACCTTTAGTTTGGGGAAATTGATTTAGAAATTTTATTGTTCTTAACAGAACAATTCCTGAAACTATATTTATAATATATAGGCTACTAATAATAGTTGATTATAATGATAAAAATTAGGATATTAATTAAATACTTTTATTTAGATTAACCATACCAGTAGTTAGATATATTTGTACATAATTGCTTTTATATTTTATTTATCTAATTAATTTGGTTTTATAAAAAGCATTAGATTACATACTATATGTTGGAAATATTTATACTTTATTAATCTCTTATTTTAGATGATTCCAGAAAATACTAGGAAAGATTTGATAACCATTAATGTGGTGGTTTCCTTTCATTTTTAAAAAATTGATAAGAGTTCTTACAAGTTGATATTACTAATACTAATTACTATTATTTTTCAAAGTATTTTTTTAAATTGAATCATTGTATTCTCAGTCAAGTAGATAACGGTTACCTTTATTTTATAAATAGGGATGATAATGAACAGATGAATGGTTTTTCAGCCTCTCAGAGATAATCTCGCTTAGAGCTAAGAATAGAATTTTTGTGTTAGACTGCTGTGAAAGACTTAACACACCTTCTTGAAAAAAGTAGGGAAAAACTATTTTCATCAGAAAGTTACTTTTGGATCACATTGGCAAACTACTAACAAGATAGGAGATTTCACGATAGTGCTAGTTTATGTATCACTTTCAATGTATTGCATACCTATCTACATGCCAGCTGGGGGTAGAAAACTAGGATGTTAGTATCAGAAAGAGAGAGAGAGAGAGAGAGAGACCTTTCAAAAAGACATTTCATTCCTCAAATCTGGGGTCAGAGCTTGCCAAGAGAAATCTCTCCAGCTTGGATTCTTCTTTTAATCTTTGGCATCATTAAGGTTCACTTTCTCAAGTGGAAAAAAACAGGTAGAGAGGATAGAGTTTCTTAACCTTTCAGCCTTAATTAGCATCAGCAGAGAGATCCTCTAGACTTATAATATCTTTGGCCACAGTTTCTTATATGCTTTCACTTTTATCACTTTCATTCCTGTTTCTGTATTCACTTTAATACTTGATTTTTTTATTGTCTTGAGACTGTTTTTTGGCAGTTTTCTCAAGATTTATCTTGCAGGTAATGACTCCAGGTTACCAGTAATCTTTAAAAACATTTGTTGTGGAGGAAGGGAGGGAGGGAGGGAGAGAAGGAGGAAAAATAAATAAATATAAAAACATTTATTGTAGATACAAATTTGGGTTGTCAAATTCCTAATTTAATTTTTTTTAAGAACTTGACTATTGCTTCTAAATATTTTAACTTTGAAAATGCCTTAAGTGTGTAAAAGCTACTTTTTTTAAAACATGGTGATACCCTTTGTTTTAATTTGACCCCATTATTTATTCCTACTATTTAGGCATTCTGTGACTTTGATGGATTTGTAACTTTTAGTTTGAATACAAACATATAAAAATAAATATTTTCAGCTGGCTAAACAGAACTCCTGACTTAGAGAGGGAGAAATTAAACTAACTAGAATACAGAGTCCTAAGAATTCTCAGGGGATATATATATATACTGATTCCCAAGTATTCTCAGTGTATGTATTTTTGCTACCTAAGAACAGTTTTATTTAGTTGATGCTAGGTAACATGATCCTTAAAAACTATAGTATCTTCTAAATATTCTTATTTGCCCCAAAATTTGTATTAAAAACAAAGTTTGTTTTATTGACATAAAATCTTTACCAAAGTAATGTGGTTTTGTGGCTGACTAGGCCAACATACTGTTATCTGTTAATCATTTAATTTGAAGTAAAAGACAGCCAAAAAAAATAGAGGCTTGGAAATTCAATGCAGTTATGGCTCTGCTTAATTATAAAAATTTTTAGACTGTTTTTCCAATAGCACAGAATTTGAAGCAGTCACTAACTTCTTATAGTGTATTACATTGAAGACTTTTTAATCTTTTCAAAAATGTAGTAGAACACTACTAACATACAGTTTTCTCGTGGAATAGAGAAGTAACGATTCTGAGTGCAAATTTGCATTTGCTATCTTTACAAGAACTATGACCTTTCTCCCGAATTTCACTGCAGGAATAATTTTTGAATGTTTTCATCTCCCTTGTTTTACTTTTAAGGAGTCCACAAATTTAGATATACTCTATTCATACATAAAACTGATTTATTACAACAGAATTTTAGATGTTAGTAAATGTTTGTTGAAGTTCGTTCCTATATTTTAATAAACAGAATGTTTTAGATTCAAGAATGTTTTAATACTGTAATGACTAAGGTAATTTTTATTAGTAAGGATTTTACCATGGAGAGTAATCTATTGTAAAGCAAGCCCAATTGTTTTTATAACTCTTCTATAAATAAGTGTTTAATTTAATGAAGTAAAATGTATGTTATAATACACAGTATAGATATATTTAAAAAAATTTTTTAGCAAATATTATTGGAGTCCTAGCATGTACTTTGTTAGGCCTTGGAAATATAGTGGAGAGCTAAGCAGACTTTCTTTGTAACCATAAAAAAAGAAATTGTATAAGAACTGCCAAAATTTTTATATTGTGGTGACATAAACTTTATTTTTATTAAATGCTTTTCTGTAGAGAAATGTAATTATTTTGATGAGTGCAGAATCATGAGTTGGTTGAAGAGCATCCTACCCTCAGAAGAGCCAGGATACAGCTAGATCCATGGAAATTGGCTTGGCCAGATCTCTAGATTATGGGTGATTTGGAGGGCTCTTAGAACCAGTTTGAATTCTCAGAGCATGGCAGCAGCTCCAAAAACCATCTGGGATATACCTGAATGTTATATATACTGATGGATTCCTGATCCCCTGGAAAAACCTTTATATAGCCCATGTATTTTTCTTAAAAATAGAAAAGAAACTTTGTTTCTAGCTTAAGACAAATGACCATAGAAATACTTTAGCCTATTTGTAATTTTAAGGCATAGTTGGTTCTATTTTATAATACAACAACATTATGACAATGTTAAGAAAAACTTGTAAATATCACACATAAAAATTTCACCATAATCTCGTGAAATTTTTTTATATATTCTTACTTAGTCTTTGTCCACACACAAACGTATTTCCTCACAGTTATTATAATTAATAGGCAAATTTTGTTCTGATTTTTAAAAAAATTTAATAGTAAATGGGTAATTTTTCCATATTCCTTAATTACTCAATTGGTTATTATTTTTAATGGCAGTATAACAATTAATTGATTTGACTAGTTTTTTAAACATATTTCTCTACTAAAATGTTAACTGAAAGCAATTTTTTAAAGTAATTATATATACAGTGCTGATGCATCTAGAGCATACTTTTCTTTTATTGGCAGACTTAATTTTAACTGTTTTATAATAATTCCAGTGTTACCCAGCTACTCAGTTGTGCAACTGACCTCTAACCTCTTTTTATAGACAAATAGTACAAGCTTCCCCCAAATTGATTTTAAGCTCTGTTTTGAGTTGACCTTCAAATAGAGGATGTGATGCTTGTCAGCTAATAGTAATTTCCGTATGCCAATTTTCCTGTCCTAGTCCTAGTGGGTTTTAATAACAAAGGGAGATGAATTGGAACCACACCATAGAAATTCTTACTCTGTATTTTTACTCCTTTTGCTTTTTCATTCAATTTTGTGCCTTATCAGCGGATTAGGTTTCCTTTAAAAAAACAATGACTTTATATTATTAAGTAAATTGTATTTCTTCTTTTCCTGAAAGAATTTTTCAGGGACTGAAAATAGCATCAATTAGGCACCTACTATGTACCAGAGTAGGTGAAGAAAGCATTTTTACTTGATCAGCCTTTAAGGTAGATAACACCATTCTACTTCCCCTAGGGAAGCCTTCCTTCTCTGCTTCTTTTCTAGAAGCCTCCTGCAATGTGCTCATATAGTTCCTGACACTTCCTTTCTCACTGCATTGATCATAGGTATTCTAAGTAATTGTTTACTGCCTGATTTCCTTGCTCCACTGCTAGTACCTGACAGACCAGAGTCAGTCTTGGCATGGTTGACATTCAACAAGTAGTTGTTGAATGAATTTATTGAATTGAAGAATCTTGGTTTTATAGGTGAGAAACTGAGGTTGAATTGAGTAGCTTTTCCAGTCACCTAACCACTAAATGATAGAGTTGACTCTAAAACCTGTGGTTTTACCCTATACCACAATGCCTCTGTGAATTAACTACTTTAGGCCTGGGTTTCTTCTTCCATAAAAATGGGGCAATTGTATTAAGGTCCTTGTTTCCTCCAAAATCATGACTTTATAATAACCCCGAGGATGCCTTTGTTTGCTCTTTAAGTCTATTTTTAGACTATAAACATTATGCAGAATTGAGCCTTTGGACCAAATCTTGAAGCTCTTTTGGGAATTCTCAGTTTCCTTTTAGAAATATGTTAAATAATACACTGACCCTGATTTCATTAGGGAAATCAGGGAGAACCCGAAGGTAGGTTGTAGTGAGCAGTTTTAGGAGTAAAGAGGAACAAATATTTCTCAAGTCTATGTGATTGAATATAGAAGTAACCAGAGGTTGATGCAACCTATAACACTCAAGCTAATCAGATTTTTGTGTTACTGAAAAGTTTTTTTTAAAAAGCCTCTCTTTTAAGTAACTTACTTAATTTTAAGTAAATTGCCAAGGCCAATGTTTTCAAAGGAAAAAGCACAATTTTGGTTGTACATCACTAGGTTGTAATATAATGTATGAGTATTTTGTACTTTTCATGACTCTAGCAAAAAATATTTGAACTTTTAAAATTTGTTTATATCTGTTTAAATTCTTACTAACTGGCCAATCTGAATAATGAACTAGTAGGAAGAAAAATAGAAGTAATAATTTGGTAGCATATTCCTATTTTTATGTTAGATAAGATAAAAAATAAGAAGTTTAATCCCAAAAGCTAGAGAGCCAGAAGAATAAAAGGGATTTAGCTCTTCAGATTTCTCTTCTGTATCTTTTGTTACTCCTGGTTACTTTGCCTCTGGATGCCCCAGGCCAAAGGACGCTATCAAGTCACTCTAGATTAGTTTTAAAATTTCATGGCTAAGCAGTGGCCAGGTGAAGTGGACTTTGATGAAACTGATATATTATCTTGAAAGTTTTTTGTTTTTAAGCCAAAAGCTTTTAAACACATCTTGGAACCCCTCAGAAGTGGCAATGGAGATTGTAAGATCCATAGGATGCGGTCAAGGAGTAGGTTAGCCTCACCCTCCTCCAGCCAGACAGCTACTCTTTTATCTGTTTTGCTCTGGGTTTTCTCACAGTATTTTGTTTGAAGAAAGGGCTCCCCTGCTTAAAGCAAAAGGTTTGAAAACCACTACTTTAAGGAAAAATAGTTTCAGAAAAAAACCCTCTATTTTTGACTTCTAGTTATTAGTATTCCCCAATTAAATATAGTTTCTCTCAGATTCCTGGAGAGTAATAGTTACAAAATAGCTTACTCCTCTGCCTTTCAACTATTTCCCCTTATGACCCAAAATGTGAGTGATGCTCATTTCTTACTCTTCTACTGATTTACAGCAATTTAGGGAATTCCTGTTTCTAATGACAAATAATCATCACATAGCTGTGATCATACTTGAAAAAAGTATCACATGGCTGTGTTGATACTTGAAAAAATATTGTGGTTAACCCCTACTTGATTAGGAGATGCCATTGGCTCAGTTTATAATATTAGTTAAGAAACAGTTTTAAATTTCAGTGATATCTTTATAATCTCTTAGAAATCAAAGGAGTTTTATAGAAAAAAGAATGACACCTCCTTTGAGAGTAGAGATTTGGACTGATACCACTATTATTCCTAAGCTGATGCTCTTTATTTGTAATATGGGGGAACAAGGGACTTTTAGTCCAACTTTCCATCTGCTGCTTGGAGCCATCAAATGGCTATGTAGTTTATATTTGAATAATTCAGTGAGGATTACCACCTCAAAGCTCAGGTTAATTCTCTCTTTGGACAGCTCTCTTTCCTAAAAGTATTTCTCCTTTTACTGACTCAATGATTCTTATACGTTATAAGTTTGCTTTATGATCCTTGATGAAAACTTTTTGCTCTTCCCTTCAGCTAGGACAAGGTTGATGCTAGTAAATTAAAATAGCTCTAATTTGTGGTAGAGAATAAGACCACTTACTCATTTTATGCATTTTCATTTGGTTTAGACTTCAGAAACACACAAACTTTAACTAAATTGGCACCAGGATTTTATTTTAAATATTTTGGGTACAAAATTTATTAAAATGTATTTCTATGATCCTAATTCACATTTTCTAGATGACTTAATGTCATTATTGTGAATTACAGCTACTGTTCTCTAAGGTGATGCCCTCAAGCCCTGTAGAGTTTTGTAGGACTATTTTCCTCTTCGTTTTAGCTCAATTTAATAAACATTTAGTGATTACCTCCTTCAGTCCAGGCTTATTGTATACAGTGGGGATGCAGACATGAGTGAGATGTCAGCCAGAATAGCTCTGCTGGGAGAGCATTAGATTGAAGATATAAAGATCCTTGGATAGATCCAGAGTTTCAGGGACTTTATCTCAATAAAGCTGTGTCTTAGTCTGTTTGAGTTGCCATAAAGGAATACCTGAGGCTGGGTAATTTGTAAAGAAAAGAGGTTTATTTGGCTCATGGTTCTGCATTCTGTACAAGAATCATTGCACGGCACCAGCATTCACTTCTGGTGACAGTCACAGGCTGCTTCCACTCATGGCAGAAGGTGAAGGGGTGCTGGTGTGTATAAATCTCATGGCAAAAGGGGAAAAGAGACAGAGAGAGAAGGTGTCAGGCTCTTTTTAACAGCCAGCTCTCAGGAGAACTAATAGAGTGAGAACTTATTACCATGAGGATGACACCTAGCCATCATAAGGGATCCTCCCTTATGACTCAAACACCTCCCATTAGGCCCCACCTCCAACATTGGTTATCAGATTTTTTTCTTCTTATTTTTGAGATAGGGTCTCACTGCATCACCCTGGCTAGAATGCAGTGGTGTCATCATAGCTCACTGCAACCTCAAACTCTTGGCCTGAAGCAATCTTCCTATCTCAGCCTCCCAAGTAGCTGGGACTATAGGCAGTGACACCACTTCCAGATAATTTTTCTATTTTTTGTAGAGATGGGATCTTGCTCTTGCTCAGGCTGGGGAGATCAAATTTCAGCATGAGATCTAGAGGGGTCAAACATCTAAATTCTAGCAAGCTGTTACTAAAAATAAAAGTATGGGACATAATATCTATAATGAGACCACAGGTATGGATATGGGGGCAAGGACAGAAATGTAACATTACTCTGCTACAATATGGTAAGTGCTAGACTAGAAAATTAACAGGGGAGGAGATGGGACCAAATGAAAAGGAAAAGGTGATCTATGGGGCAGACAGATAACATGCACAGACAAGTGTCCCAGCCTAAGGAAGGGCCTGGGCAAGGGCCTGAAAGTACATTGAGTGTCCCTGGAATGGCGGTCATTTCTGGTGTGCCAGAAGCATAAGGAAATGGAAAGAGAAAGATGGCAGGAGAGGGGAAGCAGCAAAATAAAGTTAGACCAGGTTGTGAAGGGAATTATATGTCCCTCAAGGAGTTTGGACTTTATTCCTTCAGGATTGGGGATCTATATCAGGAGACTGATGTGTTTTATAAATTCTAGTAGCATGGTGGAGAATGATTAAGACTAATGTCTCTGAAACTTTGATCATTCATCCTGCATCTTTGTTATTTTACCATAGTTGAATATGCTTTGGGGCTGACGAGACAGACCAGTAGGAATAAGAGGACGTAAGTGATGGATTAAATTTCTTGTACACTTAATGGCCATCACTTTTCAGTATCTGTGACTGCTCTTTATAGTTTTAAAGTTCTTCTCTAGTTAACAGATTATCATCTCACATTCATAATAGTATGATTGCCAAGGCAGGCCCTTTCCCCCTTCTCTTCTAATATATAGCTGGCTAAAAAAGTCCAAATAAACAAGCTTGGATCTGATCCACAAGTACAGTACATGACCTTCACTGAGTCGGCTTGGAGACATCTATTTTGATCCTTAGAGGACTTTTTCTGATTCTTGTCTTATTCTAGATCTTTATAACTAAGCTATCCAGCAACTTCATATAAGTAAAATATAACTGTCTTGTATAAAAGATCATAGTCACTCATTTTAAAACATTTTTAAATTTATTTTAATGTAGGTGATTGGAGTTGTGCTTCAAGAATTTCAGCAGTTCAGCAGTATTTTATCTGCTAACAATAAGCTCTTTACTTGATTGCACCATGAGAAAGCTGCTAATGAGACTTGACGAGCACAAAAATGGACTTGAAGAACCAAAAGCCATTGTTTTTATATGAAGAATACTGAACAGTTTTAAGCCTCAATGTTTTTAAATCATCACTGAGATTTTCCCCATAACATCAGAATGGCAAGCAGGCGAAAATCAACAATACCGTGCATGGTCCTTGCCAGTGAACAAGATCCAGACCTTGAATTGATATCGGATTTGGATGAAGGTCCTCCTGTACTTACACCTGTAGAAAACACCAGAGCAGAGAGTATCTCAAGTGATGAAGAAGTTCATGAATCTGTGGATTCTGACAATCAGCAAAATAAAAAGGTTGAAGGTGGCTATGAATGTAAATATTGTACTTTTCAAACTCCAGATCTAAATATGTTTACTTTTCATGTGGATTCAGAACATCCCAATGTAGTGCTAAATTCATCCTATGTTTGTGTTGAATGCAATTTTCTTACCAAAAGGTATGATGCACTTTCTGAGCATAACCTGAAATATCACCCAGGAGAAGAGAATTTTAAGTTGACTATGGTGAAACGTAATAACCAGACAATCTTTGAACAAACAATAAATGATCTGACTTTCGATGGTAGTTTTGTTAAAGAGGAGAATGCTGAGCAAGCAGAATCTACAGAAGTTTCTTCTTCAGGAATATCTATCAGTAAAACTCCTATCATGAAAATGATGAAAAATAAAGTAGAGAACAAACGGATTACAGTTCATCATAACTCAACTGAGGACGTTCCTGAAGAGAAAGAGAATGAAATCAAATCAGACCGTGAAGAAATTGTAGAAAATCCAAGTTCTTCAGCTTCTGAATCTAATACAAGTACTTCCATTGTGAACAGAATACATCCAAGTACTGCCAGCACGGTAGTGACACCAGCAGCAGTTCTTCCTGGATTAGCACAGGTGATAACTGCTGTGTCAGCTCAGCAGAATTCTAACTTGATTCCCAAAGTCTTAATCCCCGTTAATAGCATTCCCACCTATAATGCCGCATTGGATAACAACCCCCTTTTACTTAACACCTACAACAAATTCCCTTATCCAACAATGTCAGAAATTACAGTTCTTTCTGCTCAAGCAAAATATACAGAGGAACAGATCAAGATATGGTTTTCAGCCCAACGCCTAAAACATGGTGTTAGTTGGACTCCTGAGGAAGTAGAGGAGGCAAGAAGAAAACAGTTCAACGGAACAGTGCATACTGTACCTCAGACCATAACTGTTATTCCTACACACATTTCTACAGGGAGCAATGGTTTACCATCTATTTTACAGACGTGCCAAATAGTTGGTCAACCAGGCCTGGTCCTTACTCAAGTAGCTGGAACAAACACCTTGCCAGTAACAGCACCTATAGCCTTGACGGTGGCAGGGGTTCCAAATCAAACACATGTACAGAAAAGTCAGGTACCTGCTGCTCAGCCTAATGTGGAAACAAAGCCAGCAACAGCAGCAGTTCCAACTTCTCAAAATGTCAAACATGAAACTGCATTGGTAAACCCTGATTCATTTGGCATTCGGGCAAAAAAGACTAAAGAGCAACTTGCAGAATTAAAAGTTAGCTATCTTAAAAATCAGTTTCCTCATGATTCAGAAATTATCAGACTTATGAAAATAACAGGCCTCACAAAAGGAGAGATTAAAAAGTGGTTTAGTGACACAAGGTACAACCAGAGAAATTCAAAGAGTAATCAGTGCTTACATCTCAACAACGATTCCTCTACCACCATTATTATAGACTCCAGTGATGAAACCACGGAATCCCCAACGGTTGTTACTTCACAGCATAAGCAATCCTGGAATCCTTTTCCTGACTTTACTCCCCAAAAGTTTAAAGAGAAAACTGCAGAGCAGCTTCGTGTCCTTCAGGCAAGTTTTCTCAACAGCTCCGTACTTACAGATGAAGAATTAAATAGGTTAAGAGCGCAAACCAAACTTACCAGAAGAGAAATCGATGCTTGGTTTACAGAGAAGAAGAAATCAAAAGCTTTAAAGGAAGAGAAAATGGAAATAGATGAAAGTAATGCAGGCAGTTCCAAAGAAGAAGCTGGGGAAACTTCTCCCGTAGATGAGGCTGGTGCACCTAAGTCAGGGAGTACTGGCAAGATATGTAAAAAATCACCTGAGCAGTTGCACATGCTTAAAAGTGCATTTGTTCGAACACAGTGGCCATCACCAGAAGAGTATGATAAGTTGGCCAAAGAAAGCGGGCTTGCTAGAACAGATATAGTTAGTTGGTTTGGGGACACCCGTTATGCTTGGAAAAATGGAAACTTGAAATGGTACTACTACTATCAAAGTGCCAATTCAAGTAGTATGAATGGTCTGTCTTCCCTTAGGAAAAGAGGGAGAGGGAGACCCAAAGGACGGGGAAGAGGAAGACCGCGTGGGCGGCCTAGAGGAAGCAAAAGAATTAACAACTGGGACAGGGGACCGTCACTCATAAAATTTAAAACTGGAACTGCAATCCTTAAGGATTATTACCTGAAGCACAAATTTCTTAATGAGCAGGACCTTGATGAACTTGTTAACAAATCACACATGGGCTATGAGCAGGTCAGAGAGTGGTTTGCAGAAAGACAGAGAAGATCAGAATTAGGTATAGAATTATTTGAGGAAAATGAGGAGGAAGATGAAGTTATTGATGACCAGGAAGAAGATGAAGAAGAAACAGATGATAGTGACACTTGGGAACCCCCACGACATGTGAAGCGGAAGCTTTCTAAATCAGATGACTGAAATGTAAGTTTTTAAATTGAGTGTATATTCATCAACCACATGCATTTTGAACAGTCACCTTGTATCAATCATCTTCACTTTTGATATTTTTTCCTGAAATAGTTTTTCTTTTCCCTAATAAGAGACTAGGTACCACTAGTATAGCCAAGAGATAAATTATTATCATGTGTAGCTTGGTTGTTGTGATTATTTATTACATGGAGTTTATTGCTGCTTTAATTATTTATTTTTCACATGAACTGTTTTTTACTTTGTTTTAAGGGAAAGTTACCCATTCTTTAAGAAGGGAGACTGGTAGGTGAGGGGGATTCACAAATAAATATTAAAGATGACTAAATTGTATTTCTTGCAACCCTCCCTTCACTAAAGCTTCATTTTTTGCCTATTTAAGGAAAGAATTCAAAAACGAAAACTAAAAAGAACGGGAAAAGTTTACCGAAGGAAAGAAAGACTTACCACAGGGGTGAGGATTGCTCAGTTTTAGGAAACTAGGTGAAAATGGGTATCTTTTTTTTCTTCATTGTATTGCCCCCAAAACTTTATTAGATTTTTAACTAGAGTTCAAAATGCTTTATGTATTCAAATTATTCAATATCTTTTTCTACTAAAAGTCAAAGGTCTATTCTAGGCCATATATAAATAAATTCATGTTTGCTTAGGTGGCGTCTGTGTTTGAAAACTGTGATATAAGTTATTTCTGTCATAGAGATTAAAAGGCAAATAGCAGATTTGGTATGAAATTAACTCTATAGCCTAAAATATCTTTTCATTCTTTGATATAAAACAAACCTGCTACCAGCACAAACATTATATTTGGTTAAAAATATATCTTTGTAGTCATAAAAAGTACAAATAAATATGGTTAAATTTGAAAGGTTTTGGCATGTTCCTTAAACCTTATATAAATTGAATTAATCAAAATTGAACTATAGTTACAAATCAGATACCTGAGTTGGAGTTAGGACTCAATTGTTAATAATTGTGCAATTCAATAACATGATTTTTATTCTTTCTTATTCTCTGTTTTGGAGTTTTCTGCACTGCTCATTACTTTGAAAACAATGCAGTTGTCATGAAATGTTTGTGTATGTCTGTCAGTAGTCCAAATAGCATCTTGCTGTCAGAAATTACCGTGGTGTTCTCAAGCAGTGTGGGAGGAAATGAAGCATAGAGCCTCATTATTATTTTACAGATGAGCATTCTTACCTATTTCCTTGGCTTTTTGCACTCTACCCCATCCTCTACTGATATGCTGTCTTATTCTGTGCAGTTTTTCCTTAATTCTCCTATGTTTTCTCCCTGGTTTTATTTATTTTAACAGTTATTTATAGAGAGTTTAATATGTGCCAGGCACTATTCTTATTGCTTAGTGATCCTTTTTTCAGGTTTTGTTTTCATTAACATTTTTTTAAGACAGAAGAACAGATGAAACTAAAAATGTATCTGTTTTAATAAGCAGTATAAATCTCATCCCAGGTTATAGGATAGAATGTAGTAAGTCACAAGAAGTTAAACAGTTTTGTACAGCTTTATCCTGAAGTGCAGCCCGCCATTTCCTAATGTCAGAAATCTTCAGGACAGGCTTTCTTCTGACCCAGATACATAAAATATTTTTAACAGGCATTTTTTTTTCATTGCTAAACACAAAAATGTGCACTCAGCCAAGATTAAATCAGCAAATTCATTGCTGCAGTGAATTGTTGTAGCCTCTGCAGTGATTTTGTGGGAAGTTTCAATCTTCTAAAAATAATGTGAACTTTTTTGTACAGTTTAGTTTGATCTTTAAGTTTGTGTGGATAATTCTTAAGTTATATCTTTAATATTGACACTGTAGTGGATACTAATTGTGGTCAGAAAATTCACAGAAAGCTACAGTTTTCAAAATATTATCATGTAGGTTACTTATACACAAAATTATAAAAATATAAAATACATTAATTATCAAATTATTGGCTTAATAATTTTTTACTTATAAGAGGATTCATCATAGGTTTCTCTTTATGAAGAGTTATTTCTTCATTTAAATATGGTTCAATTTATAAAAAATAAGCTGCCAGAACTTTCCCAAAGTAGTTATTACAGAAAGTGAAGTCCATATATATTATATCTTTTGCACATGCCAGCCTTGTATGTAAATAGAAAAAAATACGAGAGTTAGTAGATTTCAGTCTATTTATTATAAATACTGACAATGAAATATATACTTCCTGCTAATAAATTTTTTATAAATTATTACATAAAGGTTATAAATGTTTATAAACAAATCTGGCATATGAAGAACATATATGTGCACACACACATATATGAGTTGCACACAAAGTCTAGCACATTATAAAAGATGTATGTTACAAGTGATCTCTATTAATAAGAGGATACAGAAGATGTATTTTCATGGCTAATTAGCATAATTTTTGTTTCTAAAAGTAGCAAAAATAAAAATATGGTTTTCTTTACATTTTCAGTTTTTTATGATGTTTTTCTTTTGTAGCTGCCTAAAACGTTGAAGGAGAATCAATTCTTCAACTCAAGATGTCTGATTTACTGTGAATGGGCCCAATCTTTGATGACACTGAAAACGTTTTGGGGCATATACACTCTCAAAAACCAGGATCCAATACCCAAAAGAAACGGAACTTAATGTTGTGCCAAAGTTAAACTACTGCAGTTGGCGGAAGTTCTGCAATGTAAATAGAACACTAATTAAAAAACAACTTGTAAAAATTCAAATTTTAATACAGTACATTTTTATTCTAATATGATGGAGACATTCTGAATCTTAGACTTTCTGAGGGGGTTTAATGACCACTAGAGCTTGTCCTCATATTTTGTCCAGCTTAATACTATGTGTCTAGTAAGATGGACTTCATTGCCTCTATGCTTTGATATGTGAATAAGCTTAGAACTTTGAGTGACCAAACACAGAGTAAAAATTGTTAGAAATGGGAATAAAAAACCAAACCCTGATTTATTTCTATGTCTTATTTATTAGGCCCTACACTAAGATTAAAAGTTGTGCATGAACTTATACAATTTTAAGTGTAAAAACAGCTTATTTACACGTTGAAACAATAAGATTTTCTGGTATCATTGGCCCTTAATAATTGGATCTTTCATTTAATTAAACACATTCATGGATACCACTATTTCTACTTATAATTCTCCTGTTACTTTTTTCATTAGAAGCTGATTTTATTTTTATTAAATGAAAGAGAATATTGAAGAAGGAAAATAAACTGGCATGAGAATTTGGACAGGGTGAAACTCTGAAATAAATATTGCACCAAAAATGTGAAAAAGAATCATGTAGTAAATATATACTTAGTGTTTTCTTACAATCATGTGGAAATCAGATATGTTTGTACAGGTGTCAGATCAGGATTTTCAAGAATTATCTTTCGGTGAAATTCTATTTCATATAACAATTTCATTGAATAGAGAAAAAATTCTGAACTGATCATAATGAGTTAAAAGTTAGCTTTTCAGTTATAAATCATGGGAGCGTTAACTGTTAACTCTTGCCATATCAGGACACTGAAAGTTCATACTAACTTATAAACTTTGTAAAGACAGGTGCTGTTGATTTATGCTGAGAAGAACCCTTTCTTTTGTGACCATAGGACCACTTTTCAAAATGTGCTTTCTTCATAGAAGAAATATTCGGTTTAATTAGCTTTGGATTTTAACATGTTTTTCTGAATGACAAGCTGTAGTAGGCTTGGCCAGTTTATTTTATCTAATATAATGAATAATAAATATTAAGCTCTTGGTTAAATGTTTGTCAGCTAATGAAAATGTTATGAAAAAGCCTTGAATATGCATGCTGCTTTCATTTTTATAAACTTTTTATTTTTTAACTATAGCTTTATTAGTAATTCCAAAATGCTGCAATTTAGCTGATTTCTTCACTCAGACAGCTGGCTTTGTGGGTGGCTTTTTTCATACTACTGTTAACTTTTTTAAAAAAGAAGCAATGTAAAGACTTAACAATTGAATGCACTAAGCTGTTTTTTCTTTTACATGTTTAAAAACTTCTTAAAGCACTCTGTATTATAATGATTAAATTGCTCCCTTTTTTAAACCATTGCTAATGTGGTCTGAGTTTTGTTTGACAATAATTTTAATGTTCTCAAAATTTGAAATGTCAAGTATTGGAAATGAAGTCTTGGAATATATTTATATTATGTTTCCTTGCAATATGTTAACTGTATAGCTGTAAATAACTATTAATACATTTTCCCCATCTCTTTTATAGGCTTGATAAAATTCTGCTCTGATGTTTGCTAGCTTTTAAACATATTTATTTGACAGAGCAAAAGAACCTTTCTCTCCTGGTTGATTGTGTCCTTGAATACAAAAATAAAAGTTAGCAGTGATTAGTAGTTTTCAGTGATTTTTTTTTCCATTTTATTATCTGAGTCAGTTTTTTAAAAAAATCATGGTAAAATATATATGACATATTTGCCATTATATCAGTTTTTAAGTATACAATTAATTATATGCACAATGCTGCGTAACCATCAACGGTATTTTCAAAACTTTTTCCTCACCCCAAACAGAAACTTGGAACCATTAAGCAATACCTCCTCATTTCCCACAGCCCCTGGTAACCTCTTATCTACTTTCTGTCTCTATGAATTTGCGTTTTCCTGTTATTTCAAATAATTGGAATCATACAGTATTTGTGTTTTTGTATTGGGCTTATTTCACTTAGCATAATGTTTTCAGGATTCATCCATGTTGTCGCATACATCAAAGCTTGGTTTCTTTTTATAGCTGAATTATATTCTATTGTGTATAAATCTATCTATACACCCCCCCATATTTTGTTTATCCATTGATCTGTTGATGGAAACTTGGGTTTTCCACCTTTTGGCTATCGTGCATAATGGCATACAAGTATTTGTTTGAGTTCCTGTTTGCAGTTCTTTTGAGTATATATCGAGTGAAATTCCTAAGTCATGTGGTAATTCTATGTTTAACTTTTTGAGGAACCACCAAACTCATTTCCACAGTGTCAAAATATTTTCCACAGCATCTGTATCATTTTACATTCCAGTAGCAATGTATAAGAGTTCCAATTTCTCCACGTCTTTGCCAACACCTTTATTTTCAGTTTTTACAAAAGTATTACAGCCATCCTAGTAAGTGTGAAGTAGTGTCTCATTGTGGTTTTGATTTGCATTTTCCTAATGAGTATCTTTTCATATGGTTATTGACTATTTGTATATCTTCTTTGGAGAAATGTCTATTCACGTTGTTTACCTAGTTTGTAATTGGTTTACCTTTTTCTTGTTGAGTTTTAGGAGCTCTTTATATATCCTGGCTGTCACAGCCTTATCAGATGTAGACGCTCTTCAACTTATGATGGAGCTGCATTCTGATTTTAAGTTGAAAATATCATAAGTATGAAATATATTTAATTCCCTAAAAAACTCATCATAAAGTTGAACGATCATTAATCAAATTATTGTAAATCCAGATGCTCCTCAACTTACCATGGGGTTATGTCCCAATAAACCCATTATAAAGTTGAAAAATCATAAGTGGTTGACCATTTTTATATGATCTGCAAATACAGTTGGTCCTCATTATTCATGGATTCTGTATATGCAAATTTGCCTACTCACTAAAATTTATTCGTAACTCAATACTCATGGCACTTTCTTGGTCATTCCTGCACATGTGCAGATGGCAAAAAATTTGAGTTGCTCAATATGCATATTCCCAGTTGAGAGCAACCAAAGCAATGCTCTACCTTTGTTTCATTTTTTTAATTTGTTTTTTGAGACAGGGTTTGCTCTGTCACCCAGGCTGGAGTGCAGTGGTGTGATCATAGCTCACTGCAGCCTCAAACTCCTGGGCTCAAACAGTCCTCCTGCCTCAACCTATAGTACAGGTACATACCACCATGCCCAGATAACTTTTTTAATTTTTTGTAGAGATGGAGTCTCACTATGTTGCCCAGGCTGATCTCAAACTCCTGGCCTTAAGTAATCCTCCCACCTTGGCCTCCTGGAGTGCTGGTATTAAAGGTGTGAGCCACTGCACCCAGCCTATGCTCTGCCTTCTTATTTTAGTTCTCATATTATAAAGAAACATCCTTTTTGTAGTCTGTTTAGTGCCATGTTTTCCATATTTTTGTGATTTTTTTGCTTGTGATTTTACTGTTTAAAATGGTAGTGCTGAAGTGCTATCTAGTGTTCCTAAATTCTGGAGGGCTGTCATGTTCCTGATGGAGAAAATACATGTTAGATAAGCTTCATTCAGGCATGGGTTACAGTGCTTTGGGCCTTGAGCTCAATGTTAATGAATCAATAGTATCTATTAAATAAGATATCTTTAAACAGAAAAACACATAAACCATGGTTATGTATTGAACAATTGACGAAAATATTGTGATCAGGGACTCTCAGGACCCTAACCCTAGGAACATTTGTTCAGTATTTTATTTGCTAATTCAGTGTTTGTAGTGACTTTATAGAACATAATTACTGTAAATAATTAGAATTGACTATTTTTTCCTATTGTGTAGGTTGTATTTTCACTTCCTTGATAATGTCCTTTGATGCACAAAAAGTTTTAATTTTGCTGAAGTCCATTTTATCTATTTTTTCTTTTGTTGTTTGTGCTATTGGTGTCACATCTAAGAATCCATTGCCAAATTCAATGTCATAAAGATTTACCCCTATATTCTAAGAGTGTTATCATTTTAGCTTTTATATTTAGGTCATTAATCTATTTTGAGTTAATTTTTGTATATGGTGTGAGATAGGGGTCCACCTTCATTTTTTTGCATGTTGCAGTCCAGTTGTCTCAGCACTGTATGTTTAAGTAACTATTCTTTTCCCCACTGACTGGATTTGGTACCTTTGACACCAAAACTCAATTGGCTATATATGTGAAGGTTTATTTCTGGTCTCAATGCTATTCCATTGGTCTATATTTCTGTCCTTATGCCAGTACCACACTGTTTTAATTATTGTAGCTTTATAGTAATCACAGGCTGAGTAGGCCATGGTTGTGATGTATATAAGCAGGGCAGAGAAAGCCATTCTGCATAGACACACACAAAGAAGAAATGAGAATCCCCAAAGACCCAGAATATGGGGCAGGCAAAGCCAGCTGATGACAGACTGGTTCTCCATATCTTCATGAAGCTCTGCCATTTTGTTGTTGGTGGATAGTTAACAACATGGAATTTTATGTCAGATAAAGGCGATTTTGAACTGACCTCTTTCTTTTATTTACCACCTGGGACTCTGGGCAAGTTACCTCTCAGATCCTACTCATCTGTAAAAAGAGGAATAATAATGTCTGATTCAGAGAGAGAGAGAGATTGTGAGAATAAAATAAAGTTAATAGGGTGCTCATAACACAACCTTGTAATAGATGCTAAATAAATGTTGGTTCCTACCCTCCCCCACTCACAGATAGGACATAAACATGTGTCTTAAAACTGAGAAGTGCTGCCCTCTGCTCCTGCCATTTTCTGGTGCTTCTCCCTTTCATTCATCCACTTGCCCATCTATTTAATGGGCATTTATTGAGCTGCACTGGGCCAAGTCCTGTCTAGGGGCTGAGATTACAAGAGTAAAAAGGCAGCATCTCTAACTTCCAATAGTCCATAGTGTGCTAAATGCCACAGTGGATAGACAGAAGCATGGAGGGATTACAGAAAAGAAGAAGGAGGGCTGCCTGGAGGAGGTGGTGTTTACCTTGTGATGTGGAACTCAATCCAGTGCCTAATAAAAAATCAGATTTTTATAGATAAAAATTTATAGAAACATTTTTATTACATTATACAACTTTAGAATTCCAATTTACTCCCTAACACTAACACCTAGCATTTCTTAAGTGTATAAGGTAGCTTTAACAGTTCAGAGTGTAAAATGTCCTTCTGTTTTATTAGTCTGCTATTTTAAAATGGCATTATCCTGGGGCCTCTCCATCCAGTGAAACAGTGGTTTGCAACTGGAGACCCAGATCCTTGGTCCTCAATTGTGATAGGGTTCTTTAAGCTGTTTTCATTAATGCCAAAGGCCCAATGCTAATCACATTTATCTTTTCTCAGGCTTCCCAGGGTCCCTAACAGCTGCTTCATTGCTTTCAACTGGAATTCTCGTATAAGACACAGTGAGGCAATGCTGGTAGATTCAGGCTGGGTAGAAGCTTGAACTGGCAATTATATAGGATCTGGATTCCATTTTTTTAAAGGAAAATGAAGCAATAATCAACAAATACAGTTTTATTTTGTATACAAATCCTCCACAACTTTGGGGGGAAAATAACTGAAAAAGTCCTTAGTGGTAAAAAGGCAGGAAACCCCTGGGCCCAGGAATCCTGAGTCCACAGGGCAAAAAACGACCTTTACCCATAAGCACCCTAACACTTCCCGACTGGTTGGTTGTTGGGCCAGAAGGAGGCAAGACCTGGGAGTGAGGGGCGGTGAGGGTTCAAATGGGAAAACAAAAAAATATGTTTCAAAATGGATCTTCTATGGATGAATTCACTAGGGCTAACACCTGGAGGCTGGGGCATCTCTCACCCCAGGCTGTTGAATAAATGGGTTAGCTCTAGATTTTGGGTGTAAATAGCAGAGAGATTTTGGAAATATGGGGGAATGGATTAGGTTCCTGTAGGGTGAGTTTCTGGAGTGAAAAATTGGGTTGAAGAAAGAACGATGAAGAAAAATGGTGAAAGAGGAATGGGTAAGAGTGAGGAGGAATAGAGCAAGGAAGACCTTTGTTTATTAGCTGCTGTGTAACATGGCACAGTAACATCGTGCTGTGCAATACTGGGCAGTATTTTGTCAACAATCTCTACTTTCTAGAGTCAAAAAATGACAGTCTTAGAATTCTGGGATTTGGTGTTTCTTTCCAGGTGGAATGAATGCCCCCTGATCGAGCCCTCACCCTGGCAAATTTCTGCCGACCGTTTTATAAATGCGTGAATGAGTGAAAGACTCTGGTCTTGTTCATGGTGGTGGTCTCTTCTCCGGAGACATGGGGAATACTGACTCATTTCTGTGTTTCCCAGCTCTTAGCCAGGTTAACAACTAATCCCGAGCAAGTTACTTAATCTCTCCAACTCCAATATCTTTATTTGCAAAATGGGAATCATTGTGTCTTTCTCAAGGCGCTTGTTAGGCGAAAATAGAAAGCACAAAAAAAGTGATTAACATAATGCCAGGAATGCACAGCGTCTGAAAAAACGGTACTCGTGAGTTTTAAACAGCTACCCTGGGCCAGTGCTTTTTGATGAGTGCAGGTAAGGATCGCTCTGCTCATCTCCTGACACGGAGGAATCAAACCCTCTGCATTGGCGTTCGATTAGTTTGTGAGTCAGATAAAAGTCTTCCAAGACTCAACCAAGACTCTTCCCCACCA